CAAACACTCTGTTGTGGAACATCATCATCAACAAAATTTTTTTGATCCAAATCACAGAATGTAGAAAATATGTGCATATGTCATGATATGTGGATGTGCACAAACTGGAAAGACAGTTTGGCACCACTTCTAATTATGTCATAAGACTACACTAACTTATGACTTATTCAATTTATTCCCTTCATAATCATTGTTACCCAGGTGGGAAAATACTGTGTTATACAACAGTGCGTATAAATAATAAATTAAATCTGATTCCTTACAATTACAATTTCAACTTACACTTAGGCTACATCATACTGATACTATTTTATTATATTTTTTTCATTAATTTAATTTTTTTTTAAATTTGTATTTTAAAAATGTTGTCTTGTAATATTTAAATAATATGATGAATAATATATATAATATATATTATATATGTCAATATCAATGAGTATGAGGTATATTTCAATATGATTCTATGATTACTTTTTATGATATAAATATAATAATTAATATAAATATGTGATGACATGATGATTACATTGAATATTTCCTGAAATTAATGAAAGGATTATTAATATGTACATTATTAATATATGACCGGAACACAAAAACTGATACGTCACTGATGAGGAAAGCAATTATTTAATAAACAAAGGTGACGTAGTATGCAATTTTCCAAAGATACCTTGTAGCTGTACGCCATATTGTAGAACAAGTTTTTTCGACATTTTTTGACATGCACAGATCGATGCGTCCACTAGTTTTAAAGTGCCTATTATTAGCAACTATAATTTATAATAGTAGATAGGCACTTTGATTAAAATTTCAAAACATTTTTAAAAATATAAAAACACTACAGCTGTATAGAGCCTGGAGAATAGATTACAAAAAAAACACAAGATCAACTTTCTAGCTCAAGTGGTTCAAAAGTTATGAATTTTTTAGTAGGGACCTCAAAGGCACTTTTTTACTATGGGATTTTCCTCCACATTTCGTGACCCTCATTTTGATTTTTTTTTAAGGCCTATAACTTTATTATAAAATGACACAAAAATATAATATTTACAGGGAACATATTTTAATTAGAGTACTTCTAAATAAAACCACAAAATATAAGTTAGTTTTTGTTAATATTCCGCAAAAATTATTTTAAAAATCTTTATTATTTTCCTATTAAAAATATATAAAATATGCTGACTCGTCACTTATTCGTAATTAATTAATTAATTATGTATAAATATTTTTTTTCAATTTCCCAAAATTCATAATAATAATAAAATATTCTTAAGATATTAATTTCAAATTTTCTGTGGA